AGCCTCCTGATAAACCACCCACTACAAGGAGAGAATTGTTGTCTATGACTAACTCGTTATACGATCCGTTAGGATTGGTAATTGAGCTAGACATACAAGGAAGGCATCTGGTACAGAGAGCTTCCCAATATGCGTGGGATGCTAGACTACCAGATGACCTATGTGTTCTTACTAGTAAGTGGTTGGCCTTGGTTAAGAAGGCTGTCCTCGAGACCAAGGTTCCCAGAAAGATTGACTGTAAGAAGTTGCTTGTCTATGTTGATGCTAGCCAAAGCACTTGGGGGGTGGATATTAGAACTCCAAGTGGGACTAGGGTTTGCGCTAAAGGTGGTCTTTTCCCTCAGCCAAAGAGGGATAAGTGGACTATTCCGCGGAAGGAGCTACTTTCTCTTATTTATGGTAGAGACCTTCTTATAAATGTGTGGAAAACAGTTGATGAGAGTATGAGAGATCAATGTGAAGCTCTCATACTGAGTGATTCTCAAATCAATTGTTACAGAGTCCACAAAGAAGACCAGGCGACTGATATGAAGGCGTGGGAACGCAAGACTATTCAGTCGATGCGTGGCTTTATGATGAATCATTCGGTCGTTCTACGTCATGTGGCTACTACCTGGAATTCCGCTGATGGTATTACCCGTGGTACCTTCCCTAATAAGGTTAGTGAAGATATGGTCAAGGCAACGGCCGCATGGTGGAAGACCGATGATTTTACACTTGAAGTGAACTGGTTGACGAAGGTATCATCAGTGATGCTAAGGAAGAGGCCGCTGATGAGACTGCGGATCCCGTAAACCGGGTGGCTAAGCTGACGCTTGAGAGTGCTGATGGCTCTTTGGACCTCAGTATTAGGAAGCATCAGGATTTATTACGCCGACTTAGAAGATGGCAAGCGAAGGCTCTGAAGAAGGCGTACCAAGAACCCTCATGGGAAGAAGCTTGGTTAAGTCTTTTATTATGGAAGCAGTCTTCTTCGAAGGAGCTTTCATTAATTAAGTCAGTCATCTTGGGTACCACCGACGCTGAGGGTAAGCACAAGGTAAGTGCGAACACCCAGCGTAGGTGGAAACTATCTTACGAGGTAGATGAGGTTACTAAGATTCTGCATCGCAAGATTCGCCAAGATAACTCGGGAAGGGTTAGGCGACAAGTGGCTATACCTAATGATGATAAGTTGGTGCCTTTATTGATGAAGAAATATCATCAAGATAGAGCCCATGTTGGTATATCTGGTACACTGCAAGCCATGTTGAAGGTGGTTTGGTGGAAAGATATACGTAAGAATGTACGAGACTATGTGAGGTCCTGTCAAGTATGCCAGTTGGTACGTGGCCGCAAATGCCATCCTCAGGATCCTGGGTGGATTCACAGTGTCCCGCAGCCATGGCATTTAGTGGGAATTGATATAACTGGTCCGTACATTGAAAGTGAAGAAGGTATAGTATTTGCTTACAATGACATGCCTCTACTCACGGTATGTAGTGGCGGTTCCTTTGAAGC